GCCCGCACTCCCGCCCACCCCCACCCACACCCCCACATCCACCACACCCACACTCACACACCCACACCCACCCCACACCCTAAAAATATTTTATACAATCGGTCACTGTACCCCTATTTAAGTAGATAGCAACAATCGAATGTTTAAATAATGGAGAGAAACTTATCCCACTGCGATTTACTCTAAAAATATTACTGAACCAAAGATCTTAAGAAATTCAAGCACTGAATAAACGGATAATTATCTCAGTATATTCTACAATCAAAGTGTGAGAGACGTGAATGCTTCTCGACATATATTCGTTTGCAACTGTACTAAATCTGGAAGCATCTGAAAGATATTGCAAATATAAATCGGAGCATTTACGAACTGCAATATTGATTTCTATTTGGTCTTCAGCTATTGCATCTAAATATATGGTCTAGGGTATATAGTTGTGTGATTTTTCACGTCACAAAGATAACTGATGTGCTCAAAGCTTTCCTCAAAGTTAACTATCGTCATTCTTTGAGTATTTCATAGGATCATACATGGATTTCTTAAACAAAATTATTCTCACATGAGTGTCCTATATATTTGCTTTGAATTCATGGCCCGATCGTTTCTAATATCAATGTCGATGCTTCGGTATAGCATGGTTGCTCTCGCCTTTGAAGTACTTTACATCATATGTTTTTGATACAACTTATCGATCATATGCACTTGTTCGTAATTGAAGAGTGTGTCTCTCGATGTGAATAAGAAAAATGAAGAAAGCAACACTTACATCTACATTCTGTCACTTTTTAGGTTTATCTCCTCGCTTTGATGTTTTTCTATCGTCATCGTCATTATTTAGGAGTATTGATATTCATTTACGAGTAACAAACATAAATGCTACATACACTGTGCTTCGAGTTTATTTACGTTGAACGGTAAATTATAAACTCAAACAATGTAAAGGTATGTGAATGAATATCTCGTCTTTAGCCATCGTCATACTGAAGTAATGCGAAAGCATAGAGTACAACGAATATGTTGTGCGCAGCACAAATATAGAAGTGCTCTCGATACTCCAATGACAGCCACAACTAATATAATAGCTGATATCCCTCATATCAAGCCTGCAACAACGAACAAATATATGTAAAGACCTCGATCATAATCGGGCCAAGTTTTTAAGCCAGTGTTATAGTCATGTATCTCTTGTCCTATATATATACTCATCACCATTATAGCGATTATGGAAACTATGAAATTCCTAATAAATAATATAAATTGCCAAATCTTCAGATGATGTTTTTTCATCTTTTTTGTACATACGAATCATACTTGCTGCTATTTTCCCAGGATTCTGAAACTTCACCAATAAGACTTTTACCAATAACTGACCAATTTCTAAGGTATATAGTGACGATCGTTCACTGAACTTTCGCCAATTGGCGAATATCCTGGGGAACAGATTGGCAAAAGTCGAATAGATTCTTATTAATGGTAATGGAGTATTCATGTCGCAAGTAATGTACAAGAACAATGCCAAGCAGTATAACAATGTACTTCAAATCACATAGTTAAGAATATAGTTGATATCAATATCTCTATTCAATACTACCGTTTTACTAAAGTGCGAGACATCTCATTGGAAATGCTCCAATTGACGAAAGTACAGAAGTCATTTTGACGAATGTTCACTGGATGTTCGTCAAGCGTGTAAGTGCCGTTTGCGATGTTCCGATATTCCCTTAGAGACAAGCAACAAAACAATCAAATAGGATAGAATACTTAGAGAAATTCATGCTTGATTAAAATTTTGAGAAAAGCTTTAAGCTGTGAGTGAGAATGAGTATATGTGGATGTGTTGTATGATTGTGGGGTGTTTTTGAAGCTTAAGGGTACATATTCTTTTCACTCGTACTTCATATACAAATCCACTCGCATATCCACATCTTGTAGATGAAAATATTTTGTCCAAACTGTTTGAGGGAGTTTTCAATGGGAAATTACTGAAAAATAGTACTAATCAATAGTCAAAAACAATGTAAGTACAAATTAAAAGATGTGCAGTTGATCTTTGTCATAATTTTCATTTGAATGATAGAATTCGTGTTGATTTCAAAGTCAAAAAATATGAAGACTACGTAGAAACATTAGAAATGAGTCAATCGTAAAGTAACAACATCTTATTCAATGAATTTGGACTGCAGAAATATAAAAACAACTCACTTTTTCAATTTTGTTTTCAACAATTAACTCAGGCATTATATACAGTAATGAAATTTAAAACCAACAATATTTTGTTTCCGAAGATTATAAAATTGATATCATGTGAAATACTTTGCCTTTTTTATAGATATGATTCTTTTTTAAATACACTTATTTATATCGATAAACATGCAGTATTTGAGAATGATTTTCTGTATATTTTTTAGAGTATGTTCAGTATTGATTATTTTAAAATACCCAATGAGTTCTATTCTCTAATATAATGCCAATGCTTTCATTTTTCAAATAATCTGTCGAATGTTTCGAGATAAGATCTGTCATTTCAAAATAAAAGTGATAAAAAATTATACTTTCTTATAGCATGAATGGTTTATTATTGTGAATAGATGTTAAAATGAGTATGAGATGGCCCGATTTTACATGTGTTCTCAGAATACTAAAACTGCAACGAATTTATGAATCTTGAGAAGAAGATGATTTTGATGAATTGTTTTCTATTACTAGGAAATTTCTTAACACATAAAATCGTACCATATTTATTCTATTGTTTTTTCGGGGGGGGGGGGGGGGGGGGGGGTCCTTTGCATTAAGATATTTTTTTTTTTTTTTTTTTCTTTATAAAATACAAAACTTTCTTAAAAAAGAAGCAA